CCCAGAACCAGAACCAAACCCAGAGAAGAAGATTTTAGTTCTTATGCTCCACTAATCTGGAATAAAATGCCAGAAAACTGTAAAAGCGCCGAAACCCTAAGTTGCTTTAAATCAAGGTTAAAAACTTATTTGTTTAGAGTGGCTTTTGACTGTGCCATCTAGGCATGATTAGTTGCGTTTTCAGTCCAATTTTCCGTTCATTTTCTTGTCCATCATTCTACTCTCTCTTTTACTTTTTTAAATTACCTCTGTTGTTTGATTTTATCATTTGATTTGTTTTTCTGTGTCTGTATCTGTGTTTATTCGCTTTGTGATTGTATTGTAATTGTATGTACAGCGCTTTGAGTGTCTCTTTGCTGAAAAGCGCTATATAAATAAGCTTACCTTACCTTCTAAACCTGCTTCTGTATAGGGTCACGGGGGAGCTGGTGCCTATCTCCAGCAGTCTACAGGTGAGAGGCAGGGTACACCCTGGACAGGTTGCCAGTCCATTGCAGGGCAACACATGTACATTCACACCTACAGGCAATGTAGATAGACCAGTTAACAGTCATGTTTTTAGACTGTGGGAGAAGGCTTTGTGATGACTTTCTACACAGAGTACCTGGACTACTGGTACATTCATGCACAGGGAGAACATGCAAACTCCATGCAGACAGGCCCCTGGTTGGGAGTTGAACCAAGGACCTTCTTGGTACAAGGCAACAGTGCTACCAACTGCACCACTGTGCAGCCTGTTACTATGGTCATCTGTTTGAGTAATCATATGCAAGTATAAAATGCTTGGAAATGTCCAGCCATCATACTGTTCAGGAAGGAGACAGCTTTTATGCTCAAGGATGAGCGTGTTTTGATGATAAAAAAAATGATGATAAAATGTGTTTGTCAACCCAAGAAAAAGCAAAAGACCTATAAAACATGCTGGGTAAACCTAGTGAGAGAAAACCATCATCCAAAACGACTCCTGTACAGATATGATCTGAAAAGTCACCATTAAAAAAAAAACCATTACCTCAAGTCACATAAAAAGCCAGAATACAGTTTGCAAATTCACATATAAAAACCCAAATTTTTTAAGACATGTCCTGAGGTCTTCACGTGACGTACGGGGCTGGCAGCATCATGTTGCGTTGGTGTTTCACAGCAGGGACTAGTGCATTTCACAAAATAGATGTCATTAAGAAGAAAGAAGATTATGTGGAAATATTCTTAACACATCAGCCAGGAAGTTAAAGGTTGGGCACAAATGGGTCTTCCAAAAGGACAGTGACTTAAGCATACCGCCAAAATATTTAGTAAGTGGCTTAAGCACAACAGCATTGTGGAGTGGTCATCACAATGCCCTGATCTCAGTCCCATAGGAGATTTGTGGGCAGAGCTGAAAGGGTGTGTTTGAGCAATATGGACAGCAAACCTGACTCTGTCAGGAGGAATCAGCCAAAATTGAAGCAAAATTGAAGCAAGCAAAAAATGCTCTCTCTTATTATTCTGTTTTTTTTTGCAAATAGAAATAATAAAAAAATGATACCTGACCTAATGTCAGACAGACAGAAAAATAAGACCATGTGTCTTTTTATACAGTGTATGTAAATATTTGATTTCAGCTGATATACTGAAATACCTGAGAAATGTTTCAAGCAGCAGATTTCAGGAGAGAGATATGTGAACAATCTGAAGGCACAAAAACTTTGTCAAGAGTCCGGACGTGCTTTTCTGAATGCTGTTTATTTACTCAGCTCCGAGGCTCCATGAGTTCCACAGATCCTCTGGTATTCATACTTGTCCCGCCAGAAAGCCTGATTATTGCCAGTGACGCATGTGCACAGTTTCTCTCTCACGTACGCACAATTAGGAGGGTGCTAATCTCACAGGGAGGAGGGTAGATCTCAAAGCCTCTACACAAATAAGTCTTTGACCAGGCGTTATCAGCCTACATCTCATTCAGATTTATTTACAGTAAGTGTTTGCCTTACAGAAAGAGACCGCAATGCAGTAGTTATCGTGTCATTGACCTCAGTCTGAGTTCCCCTTCTGTCATCAGACATTAGCTTCCTCTGTCATCTGTGTCTGATTACCATGAGGGAAGTTCTTTTTTTTTATTTTAGCACTCTTTTCCCTCTAGCATCTGCATTTTTAATCTTCTGTCTCTTCTGCTTTTTCTCTCCCAAAGATGTTTTTTTAACAAAACTGGTCCCAGAACTAAAGGGGAGTCAGGTTTTACTTAGCTCCAGTATTTTTTTGTTTACACCAAAGAAAAACAACCAGCGATGAAAAAACCGTGGTACCCATTTTTGGCTTTATCAGAGGAAAGGACTAGTTTTGTTGGGGACTGGAATTGGGCTTATAGAGATCAACAATGAGTTAAAAAGTTCAACTCCTAAGGTAATTTCCCTTTTAGGCAACTTTATTTTTGACAAAAACAATACAAATCCCAAACTTCAGTATTAATGAAGCTTGATCGGCATTTAAATATCTCAAGTTCACTGTCACTTATATCTTCCCACTGTTTATTTTAACTTTATTGATCACCATGCTGAATGTAGATTAGTCCACTTATTGTAGATGCACTTGTGACTGCTGTTTTCAACTGGATTTATAAACACTGTTTGCAGGCCAGTTTACAAACATTGCAGGATCTTTAAACATCACTAGCTGGTGTTTCTGAATCCTGCTTGAAGTGGTGCACGTAGCTTCTGTTTGACACAGCTTTGGGGTTTATTTAACCCATTCAGTTCATCCCCCTGAGTCATACAGGAAGACTCTGAAATGCTTAAATCTCTCATTGTATTACATTGTATATACATTTTTTTAAACTTACAAAAAATGTTTATAACATCCTTTTTCTGTTGATCATGGTTTTGATCCCTATTTAGTTCAGGTGACTCTTTGAAATATGAAAGATAAGGACAAGTGATCAAACTAAAATAATTGCACATTCCCTTACAATAAGCTTGGGTTGTCAAATCAAATCCACAGTGGGCCAAAATTAAAAACTTGGACAAAGTCGCAGGCCGGATTTGATATTTATTAATAATACGTCCACAATTGAGGATGTTTTTTTCTTTCTCCCCAGTCATAACAATAAACCTTCTGATATGGAAAAAGAAAACAAAGATTTGCTTTAATGCTGAATCTGGAACAAGCAAAGCTTTGTACTATAAGCCCATGTGAAATTTAGTGTCACATTAATGACATATATCGTTAGCTTCATAGCATAATCGCCTAACTCATATTTGCCAAAACGTGACAAAGGCAATTATCTTTGAGGCTGATTAGGTGTAGCGCCAGCAGAGCATTCTGGGATTTGAAGCATTTGCAGTGCATGCGCTGTCTAATGGTACTCCATCATTAGTAGACATTTGAAATTATCCTGAAGACAAACACTGCGGCCTACATGTGAAAAATACACAAATGGTGTCTTCCAGAACTTTACTCAAAATAAACAACTTAGCATCTTGAACAGTGGGCTCTGCATTTCCGCCTAGACCATGTCAGCCAGGGCTGATCAACAAAACAAAAGCAGACAGAGCTTTTTTTATATTATTAAGCCAATGATGTAAGGGAAGTCCTAAATCCCAAAATAGTTCTTCCTCTGTGACAGCTGACATTTTACAGATGTGCGATTTCATCCAAAATATTCTTCTATTTAACTACAACGGCATCTACTAAAAACTGCTTTGCACATTAAAGGCATTTTAAACAAATTTAATAATATCACCACTTAAAACCAATTGCACACTCAACATTTTGACATAATGAACATTCCGCATTTACCCTTACATTAAATATGTATGGATCATGGTAATCAGAAGTGAATAAGGGTATTAATCCTGCTGACCTTGTGTTTTTCTCATGTAAGAAAGTCCAAAGCAGTTGCAGGTGGCCTTGACAGTTTGAAATGGCAGATTAACATCAATAGCTGCAAAGATACTTTAAGTACGGAGCCCCTAAAGGTACATTCACCAACTCATTGTGTAACTCACAGAGTATTTCGGGCTACTGTGTAAATACCTTTGTGCTATATTTATAGTTTGGGCTGCAATACAATGATATTGCTGCATTGCTTGCCAGACGTCAATGTTAAGTTGTTTCAGAACAACACTTAAAACAAATCTTGAAGTCCTGCACCCTGTTTTGGCAAAAGGTGTATGAGAAAGTATCTGGTGCGTACCTGAAAGAATCCAGTGCACACAAGAAGGTTTTTAAATACTATTTTTCCTTTAATGTCCTTTCATGGGCTCTGTATTTAAGAGAGTTGTTCACTGTGCCTACATGATAAAACCTATATTCCCATTTAAGATTGGCCGGACATACTTGTCTCTTTTTAGAGCTTAAAGGTTGGTTCTTGGTACAGATTGTTTGCTACTGTTTCCAGTTCTAGTCAAAATAGCACACTGTCCCGCATATATGTGACATTTTCCTTAATGTAGCACACATGGAATACATTTATGGAGAGCCACCAGATGTCTGGAGAAAGGTTGTTGACATGATCCTGAGGTGATTTAATGCTTTGAATCAGATGTGTTGGAACAGGTAAATGTACAGAGCACTTTAAGGCCTGGAAATGGGAAACACTGTTCTATATTATGTATAGTGGACACATTAATAAAGAAGCAGCAGTGCTTTCATCACTGGTCATTTGATCCCGGGGGAATTTTCTGTACTTCCTGTTTAAAGCTTGTGGACAGTCATGTAGCAATAGGAGCTCAGGGACAGCTTGTCCAGATCATATGAATCCTGCGTTTCTCTGCACTGGCTGACCGAGACTGAATTGTAATAACCTTTAAACTCAGATTAAATGATACACAACAGTCATGGCAGGCTTATATATCCACCACAGACATATATACTAAACTCTCAGGCAGCCAACACTTAGAGTCACACTGAAAAGAAAGTACTCCCCAGTTTAATTTTAAGGTTTGACCTTTCTAAGGTGTACTTGGCTCGTCACACACTTTTCCATCCTTGTTCCATAAATGAAGATACTGCTAACTCTGGTGTGTGTTTTTTTGCAACTTAGGTCAGATTTAAATCAATTTAGAACCAGGTGATGACTAGATCATTTAAAAAACTAAATCCTAAAGGTGCCAGAGGATGTGCAGTACTTTTATTGACTGTATAGGAGTAGCCTAGCATGCCCTATTTCTATGTTTTGGCTTTCTAATGCTAACACTGGATTCAGTCTCTGCTTCAAATAATGCACATTCAAGAGTTGTTATCAAAGTAATAACTTCCTGGTTGAGATAACTGAGTCCAGAGCAACATCTGCAACACAAAGCTGATCTAGAACCAGAACAGCTTACCTTTAGGCGGTTTGGGTTGGAACATTTTGACCAGAACCAGTTTTGTTTTGTCCAACATACAAAAGCTGCATTGTGGTGCCCATTACACCTAGTCAGCAATTCATAATATGGTCCATACTTTCCCAGAAACTACAGGTCACTTTCCTGGAACTTCCAGGTTTCTCTCTGGAATGTACAGGTTACCTAACAGTAATACATGGTCACTTTTTGGAACTTGGAGAATACTTTCCTGTACTTTACAGAGTACATTCCAGAGCTTACAGGTTACTTTGCATGGTGATTGATAGGAATCTGCCAGAACCTATAGAATGATTTAGCAATGAAACTTACAAGTTTTGTTCCCTTGAGCTTACAAGTTACTTTCTTGTATTTACAAGTTACTTACCAGTACTTACAGTTCAATATGTACCATTAACTTTTTCAGCAATC